TTCACACTAATTCACAATGACAATACACATTTCCTCTACACACAATACAATGACGTAAGAACCAGATAAAAAATACGGCTAACCTGACGTTTACTCCTCATTTGACTCTGAAGATGACTACCGCTAAGGTTGTCGAAACGTCAATCAACAACAACAAGAACAGTCCTTCTCAGGACTTTATCAACCTGGACGATCATCATTTACAAACATGTAACGATACTCCCGGGCTCAAACCATTTACTTTAAGAAACTAACGTTGTTTGAATATGATGTACTTTGGAAAGTTTTATGTTAGGTTAAGTAAAAAGGGGGTAAATCGTATTATAATGAGCTATAAAATTAAACAAAAGTTGCTTATAGACAATACTCCTTTTTTGCTTTATAGTATTTTATCTATGAACGGAAACTAACATCTGCAGTGCACATTTTTCTTTTAGCTTATAGAGACACTTGAAATAGTTGACCGATTTGAATAACGTCGAAATAAACATATTTCTTCCCGGGGTGTTGTTATAAGGAATTAAAATAATTTTGTCTGTTATTTTCAATGTAAATGGTATTTCTTCGATTTGCTGAAAAAAATATTTTTGTTGCATATTTTCTCTGACACTAAATTTCTGCGATTACGGCTCTTTATCCAAAATATAATTAAAAATCATCAAAATTTGTGTCCCCGTCCACAGAAAAGTACTTGTCTTGTGTTGATATCAAAATTCAAAAAGCCAATATTACTAGCACTTTAGGACAAAACAGTTTCTGCTTCAGTTATATTTTTTCTAAGCTGCTGTTTGAGAAGAATAGAAGACAACTCGTCAGAATTCAAAAGAGAAATTTCATTGATAGCCAAATTGCCTCTTCAATGGTAAGTAATGAAAACATAAAGAAAACCTAAAATTCAGAGCCTGTCACATAATTTAAGAACAAAAGCTCTTATGGATTAAACTTCCTTATCTAGACCATACATTTCATTTATCATAGTCATGCTTATACGCAATCCAACAGATAATCTAACACAATCTTTATCTTATAAAATAATTAAATCATTATGAAACGTTTTTGTATGTTTTTTTTAAACATTTTCAGTAGTTAGGAGTAGCGCAGCCATGCTTCATGTATACATAGCTGCCATTTGGTAATTAGACTAACTTAAAATTCTTCAAAAAATTTTTACTGTTTCGCAAATCTTTTTATCAATTTATATTTATCCTTATGATGAAAACAAAAACGAATTGATTGATCACAACCAATGATAAAGTTCTACTAATTGATATTTATGAATGTCTGGAAATATATTATATCATAATTCCATTGATACGCCAGAGAAAATTGTAGCTACATCAAAAATATTTGAAGCAACTATCATTAAGTATTTTTGTTCAGAATACAGATAACAAAAAAAATTTTTCCAACTATCATAGACATTTAAAAATTATAAAATATTTGCAAAGTGTTTTGCGTTTTTACATGAGAATGTTAGTAAACTAAAAGTTGAATCCATGTGTGATAAATAATATTTGATTGGACATTAAAACTAAGACTTATGATTGAGGGAAATGATAATGAAAGAGAGGTACATAATTCAACAAATTGAAATGGGGCAAATCATCATCAAACATCAATACAGAAGTCATTTTTAAAAGCAAGGAATGCATGCAAAACAAATGATACATTTTTGTCTCTTGTTTCTTCTGCTACAATTATTCAATACTGCAAGAATATTTTTAACAGATGGAAAACGCCTTTTAATTGTCTGAAACAATATATTTGAACATTAAAACTTTTTAATACTTCAAAGTTGAATTCCTCTATATAGTTCTTTAGACTTTTTTACATTAGCGATTCTGTCGAAACGCTCATAAATTTCATTCAATTCAGAACTTATAAAATTATGAGAGTCGAACTTCTCTTTACGACTGACAGATATTGTAAACAGAATAAAATGTATATCATGTAAAATGTAAGTCGAAAATTGTGCTCTGAAAATGTTAATGAGGAGGGGGGAGGGTCTGCAACCACTAATGTGTCTTTTTTGTCCTTATTTTCTGCATTTTTGAAAGAGGAAAGAGAATGAATACATTGAAATAAACTAAATTTATTAAAAACATGAGAAATTAAAATCATGTGAAATGGGATGTATAAAGATAATCACCTAAGAAACTAGCCTTGTCTGAATTTGATATACTTTAGAAAGTTTCATGTTAGGTTAAGTAAAAAGTGGGTAAAACATATTATAATGAACTATAAAAATTGAACAAAAGTTGCTTATAGACAATACTCCTTTTTTGGCTTTATAATATCTTATCTATGAGCGGAAACTAACATCTGCAGTGCACATTTTTCTTTTAGTTTATAGAGACACTTGAAATAGTCGACCAATTTGAATAACGTCATCATAAACATATTTTTTCCCGGGGTGCTGTTATAAGGAATTAAAATAATTTGGTCTGTTATTTTCAATGTAAATGATATTTCTTGGAATTGTTGAAACAATATTTTTGTTGCATATTTTTTCTTACACTAAATTTCTGCAATTTTGGCTCTCTATCCAAAATATAATTAAGAATCATCAAAATTTGTGTCCCTGTCCACAGAAAAGTACTTGTCTTGTGTTGATATCAAAATTCAAAAAGCCAATATTACTAGCACTTTAGGACAAGACAATTTCTGCTTCAGTCGTATTTTTTCTAAGCTGCTGTTTGAGAAGAATAGAAAACAACTCGTCAGAATTCAAAAGAGAAATCTCATTGATAGCCAAATTGTCTCTTCAATAGTAAGCAAAGAAAACATAAAAAAAACCAAAAATTCAGAGCCTATCACATAATGCAAAAATAATAGCTCTTATGGATTTAACTTCCTTATCAAGACCATACATTTCATTTATCATAGTCATACTTATACGTAATCCAACAGATAATCTAACACAATCTTTATCTTATAAAATACTTAAAGCATTATGAAACATTTTTTGTATGCTTTTTAAACATTTTCTGTAGTTTAGAGTAGCGCAGCTAATCATCATATATACATAGCTACCATTTGGTAATTTGACTAGTCTAAAATTATTTAAAAATCTTTTACCCTTTCACAAATCTTTTTATCATTTTATGTCTATCCTTATGATGGAAACAAAAACGAATTGATTGATTACAACTAAAGATAAAGTTCTACTTATTTATATTTATGAATGTCTGGAAATATATTATATTATATTTCCAATGATACGCCAGAGAAAATGGTAGCTACATCAAAAATATTTGAAGCAACCATCATTAAGTACTTTTTTCTTAATAGAGATAACAAAAAATGTTTTTTAACTATCATAGATATTTAAGAATAATAAAATATTTGCAAAGTGTATTACGTTTTTACATGAGAATGATAGTAAACTAAAACTTGAATGCATGTGTGATAAAGAATATTTGATTGGACATTAAAACTAAGCTTTAGGATTGAGGGAAATGATAAAGAAAGAGAGGTACATAATTCAACAAATTGAAATGGGGCAAATCATCATCAAACATCAATACAGAAGTCATTTTAAAAAGCAAGGTATTGATGTAGAACAAATGATACATTTTTCGTCTCTTGTTTCTTCTGCTACAATTATTCAATATTGCAAGAATATTTTTGACAAATGGTAAATGCCTTTTAATTGTCTAAAACAAAATATTTGAAGAAGTAAGAATTTTTTAGCTTTTTAGATTTTCTTTACTTTAGCAGTTCTGTCAAAATACTCATAAATTTCATTCAATTCAGAATTTATATAATTATGAGAGCCGAACTTCTCTATACGACTGACAGATGTTGTAAAGCAGAATATCATGTATTGTTTAATGGCCTTCATTTCTGTAACTAGACGACATGTAGTTACAGAGAGGCTTGCTAGTCTGTTAAACACTGCGCAACAGATTATTTGGCATTTAATTTTGCTGGCTTAGTTATAGAATACGTCTTTCCCATTCATCTGGTAGACTGAGTTAACATGAGCAAATTTGATATCAACCCATTATAAATTTTTTCTAAACCGCTCTTCGTGAATTTCATATATTGCGTCATTTCCTTATAGTGCACATTGAAATGTTTTATTTCTTTCTATGCTTTCGTTTGCTAGAAACCTTACATCTATTTATTCACAACACGTTCTAGGCGGATGAACTCTACTTATATGAATTGTTGTAAACATGATTCTTTGTAATGAATAATTTGTCTAATCTATTGCAACAATATCCAATCATCATAAATTATCTGAAAGCAAACGTAAACATACTTTTTGGAGAAGGAAGTTAAAATGTTACATAATTATAGAAATCAATACTTGATTTATATACCAAAAAAAGTTTAAGAACAAATGATTATATGATTATATTGATGATAAGCCTTTCATAAATAAAGTAAATGTTTTACTACAAAAGCTTTAAGGAAATTAGTAACCGTCCACCTTCTAATAAATAGAAAATAAAGATGATATCAAGCTCAACAAAAGCGTTTCTTGGGACTCTCATAATCCTGTCTATTAGTGGCCAAATAGTAAATGGAAATGACGACATATCAATCTGCAAGAAAAGCTTAGAGACATTAAAAGACAACGTGAAAGAATGGATGAAACTTGCGTTGATAAAATGGCAATGACGATAACACAACTGCATGCAAGGAAGTAAAACAATACAACAAAGAAATGATGCAAATGCAAACAGAAATGTGTTTTTACAAAGGTATAATCTTTAGATTTGACAAACTTTCATAGTTTCTTGTTCATAGCACCAAAAACAATATTCAACAAAAATAGGTAGAAGTTGTGCAGCAAATCTAATTTCAGTTATTAGTAATATTTCTACAGTGAAAAATTCTTTCTAAAAATACTTATTCTGGTCTTTCACCAAATATTATTATCGTAAAGTCTATAAAAATTTGCATTTTTATAATCCACTCTCAACGTTGTTATTTATAATTTTTTTATTATTTATTTAGATGTTTATCCAAAGCCATATTTCATTATTATGAGCTTTGATAAAATATACTCTGTTGATTCTATTACTGGAGATATTCATGTCAGCACTATTAATGGCTCCAGTAAGAATAAATCTGACCATGCATCAAGATATAATGACATAGAAATTGATGTAGTTGAGAATGTGCTTTACTACATTGATGACAAAGACATCAAACGGGGAAATCTTGACTTGACTAGAAACGAAATTTTTGCGAAAAATGTTTTTGCTCATGACATTACAGTTGACTGGATTGGTCGTCGTATCTTTTACATTGACTCCACCAACATTATTTACCAAATTTTTTTGAAAAAGAACATTACAAGTGTTATGAGGCTTCAACCAGGCTTACAATTTTCCAGCATTGCATTTGACTCAAAACATGGGTAAGGCGATATTGAAATTCTTTTTATTTACTTGTAAGCGTAAAATTAATAAACTATGTCACTCTATTGGAGGGTTTTCTTACGTAAGGTAAGAGTTTTTGTTTTTAGAGACGGTGTTTTAATTTAATAGAAAAATTGAATTTTATAAGTCCGTATTATGGTTTGTTATTTAAAGGTTTAATAATAGAAAAAAATATCGATTTTCCGGGGAAATCAAAACTTGCTTTTTCCCGAGGGAGCGAATATGAAGTATTTTGTTGGCTATAAAGAAACAAACGTCATATAGTTCGACAGATTTTTATTAAAATCAACATCTTTCGGAGAGATTTGGCCAGCAAAATTTTATTGCGTGACTATAAGGCATTTCAAACCAACTGCAATAATGAACACGTTTCGTGTGATTATTCAGCACACATGCAGTAGAAAATACCAGGGGCGGATCTAGGATTTTTCAAACATCAGTCATAAAACGTCGAAGGCGCTCCGCACCTGGGGGGGGGGTCTGAGGCATTCTCCCCTGAGAAATTTTGAATTTCAGAGCCTTGAAAATGCCATTTTCAGCATTTTAGAGCAATACAAAATGTATTTGTGGGCATCGTTTTTGCGTAAAACAACACATTTTGCTTACGTTTTTTTTCAAAAAAAAAAAAAATGAAGTGAACAATACTTGAATGTTTTGCCAAATATTTAGGCTCATTATCATGCCAAATATATGGCTCATTAGCATGTCTAGAAACGTAAAATTTATTTTACAATAATGCTATTCAAAAACAGATATAGTCTTTAAAAATTTCTACCAAGTTGTCAGGCATAGACCCCTCTAGAGACCCCCATTCAAACCTCTATGTAATGAGTTTAGTTAAGTTAGAAATTTGGTACTACAAGTGACAGTTCATAGATATAGAAAAGCTCAGACTTCAAACCATGCAAGTTTATTGTAACCCTTTACCCATCTCCACATCGGTGCCAGCAAATTCACCTTTTGAGAAAAAACTCAAAATTTTTTTCAGCCAAAGGTTAAGCAAAAATTATCAGAGTGAAAATTTGCAGTTAAGGATAGCTAATGCCATAAATGCTTATTAGGCATTTCACTAGACTATTATCTCCTGTACGTATATGCAAGGTGTGCTATATAGCAATCACTAGTAGCATTGTATTTGCAAATGCAAACAGAATGTAACCAACATGTCTTTAATTATATAATTACATGAATGTTAAAATTGGTTCATGTGTCATGCTTACTGGTTATGATAAATATCTTTTCATATGATCAAAGCTTGTTTAAATGTAAATCAGAAATAATTTAGTTTAGAAATTATAATGATCATCAGAAAAATTACCTAGTGATCATGAAAAATACTTTGCTGTTTTGCCAAATTTCAAGGTTTATCTGCATACATAGAAAGACATTTTTACTTTATAGAAAATGCTTTTCATACATCAATATCCCTTTGGAATTTATGGCAAACAATCTGGTATGAGCCGTAGATTAACACACCTTTACATCTCTACATGAGGTATTCAGTTAGAAAAGGGGACAATATGTGACATGGGACAACATTCCATGTATGTGAAATACTCAGGTTTAATACCATTCCAGTCAAATTGTCAAAATAAAAAGCTTCATGGATCAGAAGACTCAAAATCACAGGTTATAGTAAACAGCTTCTCATGTAATCAATGTTAGTTTTCTCAAATCTTAAACAATATGTAGTATAACTGTCCAATGATTGAATGATCAATGATCATAAACTGAAAACCCCAAACATTTGTTTATGATAAAGTAAATAATAGTATGGCGCCTTATGGCTACAGATTTTTGTCCATTGAAATATATTTGCAGGAATGTAGAATTTCGCTGCCGTATAACGGCCACGATTCCCCAACAAAGAAATCATAGCTAAAAGTCCTTCGTCAACAACAATTTTAGAAGCATCGATCTGCTTACCATACGCCATATTGACATAAATCGCATCACACACTCGCATAATTGACTTTGATATATTACATTCATGCATACACTTCAATTGTCCTTTACTTACGATTTTGGATGTAAATTTCTGCTGATAAAACTCAAAACAATGTTGGCTTTCTTTTGAACATCAATGACTGAAATGTCGCTCGCGAGATCGTCTTTGCCAAGCATTTAAAATTTATCCATAAATTTCCACCTCTTGAAAAATTCACATTTTGGACAGCAGCATTCATGTCAATATATGAATTTGTAAAAGATTTCCATAAATTCCATCTGATTGTAGTTTAGTTTCTATCATGCTTATTAAAATTACTATAAAACGATCAAACATTCAATTCAGACAGTGAGCTTGACTATGTTAGTTTAGTTGGCTATCAGTAGAAATCCGTCAAACCAATCACAATAAAGCAAAAATTCAAATGAACCAATTGTAAGATAGCAATTGGACTCTCTTATACGTCCGGCCACCCTTATTATCAGTCGAGACCATTCCAGACTGTCCACTGATCTGGTTATTGACCAATAAAATAAGCGTTTTTGACGTTCATAGACTCCTTTATCCGTCGAACCAGTCAAGCCACCCCGCTTATCAGTCGGTTATTCCAGGTCAATTAAAATTCAACTGATCTGGTTACCAACGAGATATTCATTGGATTAGTCATTAGTTTTCAATAATAAATAATGCGGGATTTTTATCACGAAGTAAATGCGATAAGAAAATAAGAATAATTAATGAATTTTTAATTAATATGAATAGGTAATTTTTGAATTTCAAACATCAGTCGCGCGACGGATTTGACATACTCTAGATCCGCCCCTGGAAAATACCATGCAGATCCTGAAATTTCAAAAATCGACAGCGATATTTAGGTTGAGCAACCAAAGAGCTTTGAAAAAAAGGTAACGACGGAGGGATCAATGTTTATATATGATGAAGTCATTAAATGAAATAAAACAGAGCGTTAGAAACTGAAATAAAATATTAAATAATTACTTTGCACATAAAACTTTTAGTCAAATACTCACAGAACCTTGGCTTTCCACAACCTACAAAAAAGTAGTACGACTTCAATGTGCAACTTAGTGTTGTACATTTAATTCCATTAATTGTTTAGGCTGGCCACCTAAGAGCGCTTTTCTATGACAGAAAATGCAATTTGCTTGACGCCTCCATGGTAATCATATGCTTAATAAGATATGCCCTACACATAGGATTTCAACAGATTGGGAGCATTGTTTGTTGCTATACTGTGCTCTTTTGTATACTTTTTTGAGGCAGTGTAAGGGATGTGCAACAATCTCAATACGGAATGGCAATAAAGTTTTAAAATATTCACGAATGTGGTGAACGTAAAAAACTTCAACTTTTCGTTTTGTAATGAAGATAAAAAGAACTACACACATTCCCACGTAGTTACATGAAAAATATAAAAATGGATTTTAGTTTTCAAAAACGTGGCAATTTAGAAAAACATAAAATATATCAAGTTTATAGTTTTTCAAGGCTTCTTTTAACTTGCATTGAATGGCAGAGTATATTGAAAAGTCAAGAGCTGCAATTTAAGTGGCTGCACACTTCCCTTTAATAAATCCAATCACACATCCAATCAAATCACCTGAATGGAAAATCATTTCACTACCTTTAGTTCATGCAGTGTTTCTTAGTGTAGCTTAGGCAAACGTTAGATCTGTAGCTGCTCCACTGATGATGAATCTGAAGATAATAATCATGTGATTGAAAAGAAATTGGCTTAAAAGCCTTGTGGATCGAGAACTTTCTGAATATGTTATAAATAATTTACGACTTTAAAATAATTTCCTCTTCTAAAGATTCCTATGAACTCTCCATTCATGAGAGCCTTCTAATAAATAAATACAAGCCTTCACTCTTCGTGCAAGGAGGTTCCATTCCACTTAACCTCTCTTAACTTCACTAAATTTTACTTTCCAACTTCTTTATCATGTAATCCATTTAACAGCGCCTCCTTTAGTCGTAATTCAACACCTTTTGTAAATACAATATCTTGTCTTAAAATCTCATTATAAATTATTACTTGCCTGAATATGTCTTGAATAAGAACGAAATGTCAGTATAAATTCAATTTTACACCTTTTGGTCTATTTCTATAGCTCTAATTAAAATTTTATGTTAGGCATTAATTGTTATCATATTACAAGAAAAAGTTAGGTTTCACGAACACAAAAAGCCAAAAGAACGGTAATATATACGAGAAAGTTTTTAAAGAGTTCGGGGCAAGTAGCAATGAACGACAAGAACACATGGACTTTACTGTTACTCAAATGCGTAATACATTTAAGAAATGTATTGGAGAATGCAAATATGCTGCGATGATAATCAAAACTACCAGTTGCATCAAACATTTTCGATAAAGTAAAGGCCATAGTGTTCAAGCAGTTTTTGCAGCTTGTCCAATCCAAAGATTATAAAAAACACGAACATGACATGGCGATAGAGTCATCATTTTTAAATGATACCAATAGCGTTAGCTCCAGTGTCAATCTTCTTCTGATTGACACTGGAGCTAACGCTATTGGTATCAAGAGAGGGTTAAGATAGTTATAAAAAATCGTTTGTCCAAACAAACAGAAAAAAAGTATCAACAAAATACAATGTTTTTGAAGCTATAGCTCTTTTAAAAACATTTGTGGATGATGATCCATCCAAGGAGCTTCTAATTTTCATGCAAGATGAAACTGAAAAATTAAGAAAGCTTAAAATTGAAATGACAAAGCTTTCTTAATTTTATATCTACATGAAATGGTGCATAACATTTACCAACACTAAATTTTCAATTCGAACAAAAATTCCACGCATCAGCTAATTTTCAGCATTATCAATTACCAACACAATTCATTCAGCAGCCACTCCAAACTACAGCATTACTCATTCCGACAATAATCGCAAACAATACCAATCATTATAGAAGTTATGTGAATAAAAATAACATATTACATTTATTATTATGTTCTGAACCTCATGCAATGTTTAATTACTTCATATATTTTAGTTCGGTTTTTAAAAGAGAGATTTCAAATGATAAAGGTGATCTTTTCCTGTTAGTTACAATAGCTTTATGTTGCTATATCATCAAATTTTATGAATATGTTCCATTAAACCGTCTGTATATGAAAGTAGTTCCGAATACTTTGACAACATCTTTGTCTAAACTAAAAAAGTATTCTATCTTTCCTTTCTTGCATATATTAGCCTGCCAATTGTTTATGTATTTCAGTACGTATAGAGAAAACTAATGTACAAAACAAATATTTTTATTAAGGTATCTATTCTTGGCAGAAAGTACAGAACTTTTCTTATGGTTATGGAGCGTGAGTGCAAAAAAGCATCATATTCTTTCAGTTTCACTTCAGTCAATAGCACATGATCTAACGCTTGACATGGCTAAAGAGAAGATTTATTGGCGAAGTTCAAACGGAAATATATTTTCGTATGTTTACAACTCCCAAAATGTAACTGATTTTGGAACTTCACGAGGTCCCATGGCAGTATTTGGGGATTTCATTTATATCATAACTAGTGTTGGACGAAGTGTCGTTAGTGTCCATAACACAACAGATCAACGTATGAGACGCAAATATTTTCTTCCTGTAAACAACGCTTATCTTGATTTGGCTGTAGCTATGCACAGTATCACTCCTGACTCAAACGGTAGTTAAATATTTACTTATTTGAGATAATAATCTAAGACTTGCAAAAACTCCCACGCTAATGTTCATAAAATAGAAAGACGTTAAAAAGTTCAAAGTTACATTGCCTTAGTAAACGGTTGTTCTTCCTTCCAAAATTATAAAAAATTTGATGAACATTAAGTTCAAAGTGCAAAGTGTCTAATTTGGACATTTTGCCGTTTGTCTATTCTTATCAAACTTCTTGGGTGTTAAATTTAAGTCTTTATTGTTTCTTACATCATTTAAACAATTACTTGGGCTTGAAATCAGTCTTAAATAAAAAATCATGAAAATAGATTGAAAACGTCCAAATTGAGCATGTTTTGCAGTGAGCTTAATGTTTATCAAATTTTTTAAAATTTCAGTATATTGCAAAACAGAGTTTAAATTTTACATCTTTGGATTAAACTAGATTTGAAACTTTTCATTTTCTTTGTGCATGCTGTTTAAATTGAGGCGATTACGAAGTACTCACATGGTTTTTGAGATTAGTTTTTTCATTCATTTTACTTTAAATAAACAAGGCAAAGCCATGCCAAAATATATGAGCTTTGACACATTTTGTGAGAACTACTGATGAATTGATAATTTTCTGAACATTTTTCAATTATCTAACTTCTTTAGTATATCCCTTATAGTGTCCCAAACAGCCAGCAAATTTGTTCATACTCTGTAAATTTTCAACATTTATTTAATTGTTTTGTTTTTACGAAATGCGCGAACACCAAAATTACCAACATTGCATAACAAACTTGCTTGCTGGGTACGTCAACGTGGATACTGAGTGACAAATTGCGTTCTTTGAGGAAGAATATGTTTCGTTTAAAATCCCTGGTTAATTTTATTTTTAATTTTATTGATCGATATAGCGACAAGCACTTTTCACTTTCCTTTGTGTGGACCCAACACATACTATCGTAAAATTAATGGAACATTGAACTGCACGTGTATACTCAGGAGAGGATACTCAGGAGAATGTAACTCGTGCCAACGTATGGATTTATTACTGTCTTTATAAAGATTTTTTATCACCGATCATGAATAAAGAGCATCTCTGTGCAGTTTTAAAACTTTGTTCTTTGTTGAGAATCCTGAGCTGTTCTCTATGCTGTTGCTTCTGTGCAAGGAATTTGCTGCATCTACATTTTACATGTAACCACAAAAATAAGGCTCACAGCCACACGTAGAAGTTCATTATTATCAATACAATCAAGCAGGAAATCAGTAATAAATTTATGAAAAGCTTCAATACACTTAAAACTTCCCTCAGCACACAACATTGAAAGTGTATGGTTCTCTAAATGACAATAGCATATGTTAACATTAACACATTTTGAGTTTCTCTAATTAAGGAGGGGGTAGGGTTAGGGTTAGGGTAAGGGTTAAGGTTAAGTTTAACACTCGTCCTGAAGTTAGTAATGTAGCCATGGCCCTGCTAACCTAGATACACCATATTAGACAGTCTTGAGTTTATTATTGGTTGGCTTTCCTAAACTAAGAATTCTGTAAATACAAACTTTAAAAAGCATTTTGACAGACATGCTTCCAGACAGGGGCTGCGGAAGTATCACAAAATGGGGGCACTGACCGAAAAGGGCATGTGAGTTTGCAGCTTACTGTTTTAGTATATTACAGATATGCATTGCTTCATGAATCATAATTAAGTTTCAAAGTCTGCAAAGTATTGGTAGACATTCTTAGAATGCTATGCGTATTCTCTACTGCTCGGCGTGCGTGCTAACAAATTGAACTAAGATGACTACATGAACAATTTTATTAAGTAATGCGATCGCATTAAAATTTCCCAAAAAATCTAACCCTACGTTCGTTTTTCAGAACAAAGTTCTTAGCTATTAAACGTAAGTCCAGTTCGTGAGTTCTGGCTTTGTTTACATGCATAACAATAAGATTATTGTAGCCTGCTGCCGTCATTGTGCTCCTGAGATGTGTCTTGACAAGCCACTGGCATGAAAAAGATCGTTCTAAAGAGGCTGCGCTCATTGGAGCAAGAAGGTAAATCTGCAAGTGTCGAACAACATTAGACATTGCCATGACAATCTGCGATGAGTTATTTTCTTCGGTTGAGAATGTTGATGTTATGGTGTCAATTGATGTCACCTTTACTTCTGGAAGTCGCTGCGAGATAACTCCTTCAAGAAGCTTTAACTCCGCCTTCAGCTGGTCAAAGTCGAGGTCATTTTCGTAAAGGTGTTCAACTTCATCATTCAACTCAAACTTACGCCCGTTTGCTGCATTAATGAGCACGGTTTCGATGTTCATCAATACAGAATATGTTTTTTGATCGAAGCGCTCTTGTAGTGAAGCCAAGCACGCACCAATTACTTAGTTGTTTTAGCAACATTCTTCTTCAAGTTTCCTGGGTTTTCTTCAATTCCCTGACCAATATCGCTCTAACATCTCTTCTCGAATCATCAGATAATAAAATTTCTCAGTCGCGTGAAATTTAGACTGAGAGTGTTTTTTAAGTTTTTCTCCGCACTTCCTCCAGTCAATGAATTCTCCTAGGAGAAAAGCCTTTTCACCATTATGACTAAAAGTAATAAGGTCTTGACGCATCGCTCTTTTACAGAAGTAACAGGCAATGGTGCCTTTTGTCATGCAGTATGTGACCCATGTATATTTAAAAAATATAGAAGAAGCCAAGTTCGTACATTCGACGATCCTCCTGTACTGGTTCTTTCTAGACGTGTGCTTTATTTCTTCTAGGGTAGGATGGTAAGGATGTCGGCCTGTACAGCACAAACGCTTACAATCGAGTCCTAGCAAACATTCCGTTGACTCAATCTGCATAGGTCCTACCAAAATCGCGGTAGTCTTGGAACTTGGCAAAGACGCATACGTTAGGTTTTGATAAGGTGTGTGAACTGGCTCGGTCGGTGGCGCGACTAGTATCTCTGAAGACGATGTAGAGTCAGAATCGCCGAATTTTGGTATGGAATGAGAATGAGGAGATAAACACGTTGATGGAGTTTCTGTAGCTGACGGCAGTGTCAAATTAGACCTAGAGTCGATGTTTTGGTCAACAACGTTCTCTGCTGGAGCACTACTAAAAACTCGTCAGTTTTCGCATCCTTTAGCTCTTTCTACAAGCTCTTTTCCTTTTCTCGTTTTCGCCTAGCAGCTCTAGGCATGATGATTTTGATTAGAAGTGATTTAAACCGCAAAATTTTCAATTATTATGATTATGAATTGTCAACAGTTTTGTAGGACCAATGGCCTGAAAGACAATACGACGGGAGCAATGCGTTGCCGTAGAATTTATAGTCTCATGTGGATCATAAATTGCGACTTCTCATTGGTTAATTAAGTTACTGGGCGGACGTCTGCGAAGACAACCCCAATCGACAAACGCGATTTTTGATCTATCTGGGTAATCAAGATCAAAAACTAAGCTATAGCTGATTTCGCATGATGCCGACAGACTATGTTCTACTCTCGGGGCTACTTGTATCTAAGAAAAACTTCTTCTGTCCAATTTTGCCTAAAACAAGGGCATTTCTATACCATGAAAAAGGGCACTTTCATTCCAGAAAAAGGGCACATTTTTCCCTGTTGCAAAAGGGGGGGCACTTGCCCCAATGCCCCCGGTTCCGCGGCCTCTGCTTCCAGACCTCCTAGAATGAGTGCACCTCAATAATATTACATCAAATGTCTTCAACCAATGGATTGTAGCTTTATGAACTTATTCCAAGAACAGACAAATATGGCCGTTGTCCGATTACTCAGTAGGCTATGTAGGCTGAAGCTTACATTCCCGCGTTTTCAAAAGTCCTGTTCTCTTTAAACATAGTTTTTACTCTTTGCCATTCTAGATGAGATAAATGATCAAAATTTCAATAATATATCCTGTTGGAAACTGTACGATATACTGTTATAATGCTCTATGTATAGAACTCATAAAGTAGTGAGTTTATCTCGTTCGAAATTTAAATTTATTCTATAATATTTACACTATGAGTAACAAAACTGAAGCAAAGGCAATGGAGCATAAGAAACGGAAACGTCGTCAAAAGACTGAAATTTTTGGGAGAAAGTTATATCACTTAAAGTCCCACAAATTTTTCTAAGCTTACAGGCTGCGCAATTAGTCATCCGCCGCTTAGTATGGATGGTATGCACTGATAATGTTAATTCATAAATATCTTGTTAACTTTCGATGTAAGAAAATTAGGTTTTACTATTAAGAATTCACTTCCTTTAAAAACCTAAGTAAGCAATATTTTTAAGAGGTACAATAAATAAGGTCAAAAAATGTATGTAAATAATGGGTAATAACGTTTTTCAGTAGATGGCATTAAATTTCTACTGGGTTTAATAAAATTTCAAATGACTTTCTTACTATTCAATTTAACGCTATTAGAGTTAGACTGGAATTTTCTATTCAGACATAAAAAAATTTCATGTAAGCACATATTACAATGAAATTGACTTTATATTCTGAAATTGAGTATATTGCAAAACAGCATCCCTACTTCAAATGTAATTCACAGTAGTCAATAATATCCATATCTTACATGCAATGCTTGTGTTCTGTAGGTTTTCAGCCTGTGAAACATGAAACAAGCAATTTTTAACAAATAATAATAATACCTAGTAATGATTTCATTCGCTTAAAAACACTTTTTCACAAAATTCAGTCGTTTATCCTATCATAACAGAACCTTGAGAAACTGAATTTTTAACATTTTCAATTTAAATAGCCAAAGATTGCACTGAGGTACAAAATAATGGCAAGAACGAAAGTGGAGTTTATCAAATTGATCCTGATGGTCAAGGATCTTTTAATGTCTACTGTGACATGACTTCATATGGTGGTGGCTGGACTGTATTTCAAAGACGCCAGGATGGAAGTGTTGATTTCTATCGTGGGTGGAATGACTATAAAGAAGGTTTTGGTAATCTTAGTTCTGAATTTTGGCTTGGATTGGATAAGATATACCGACTAACATCAGCAAGGAGAAATAAACTTCGTGTAGACCTGGGAGACTGGTCAGGAAACAAAGCATATGCTGAATATTATTATTTTTCTGTAAAGAATGAAAGTAAAAAATATCAACTAAGTCTTGGTAGATATTCTGGTAAGTTAATACGTAAATATAAACGTTTGAGGGAAAAATATTTCGATATATGCAATATTTTTGAATGATTTGAGTGATTACAGTTTGCAACGGGGGATTCTCCAAGTTTTGAAAAAAACGGACAGTAACGGTTGGTTTCGAACTAAAGCCTTGTTTGTCAATAAAAATATAATTAATTTCGAACTTAAAAACTTACCGAAAAAATACAACAATTAAACGTTAAGTAAAAAGTCGTTCCAATTTCGAACGATTCTGTTGCAAAGATTGATTGTGACATGTAATAATTGTGATTAACTTATCATCAACATTAAATGCAAATTCAACTGCAGCTTTGTAAATTACGTATTGATAACCTAGCACATGAGTGACATGTAGGTAATAAACACAACTAAATTATTTGGTACATAAGAAAAAATCTATACTGTGAATACCATTGTCTAATGATCAGTGAGTGAAATCTTTTTTATACAATGCAAGCATTGAAGTAAGCCCTAGTAAATAATTGCAAATGCAAGTTTCAATGCCTAAATGTTATATACATTATAACTTGTTCTTACATGTAAAAGTTTTTTATGAACTTAGCAACAACCTAAACATAACAGAAATTTATTTAAGTTTACATGGACAATTCACATTTATAAGCATGAAACACAAATATAACAATTGTGCCTCGGAAAATACCCATGTACGCATTAAGTAAAGTCTGTTTCATACGTCAAATTTTACATACACCAAACAGAGCCCTCTATTTGTAAGAGTTGGGACATGTATTGTTCTCTCGTTTGCGAACGTTGACTGGACAATATCGATCATATGATTAATTTCCGCCATTTTCGTTCCTAATTTTGAAATTTGAACTAGTGTTTATATGGCGATTATTATAAGTT